ATAAATTTGTATATTTAACCGATTGTGTTTGTGTGTTGCAAAGAACTCCCCAAAATGCCATGACTAATGGCACCATGACGTTTCGCTTATCGGCAATAGATAGTCCCTGTCTAAACTGATTTACCCTTTACCAGAAGATCGAAACGCAAGTGCAAGCGTATGCGGCCACCATAATGATGATCAATGCCATTCTCGAGAGCACCATTCCTGCCGTTGTGAGTCTATTCCTGGGCCCCTGGTCGGACAAGTTCGGCAGGCGTCCCATTCTGCTCTCCACATTCACGGGTAAGCTGGCCACCACCACTGCATTCATAACAGATTCTATCTATAACTATTTCTATAGGATTCCTGTTGAGTGGCAGCATTCTGATCGTGCTAACCCAGATATCGGCTGTCACAAACATCAATCCCTGGTGGTTCCTGCTCTCCTCTGTGCCGTCGGTGTTTAGCGGCGGCACCTGTGCCCTCATCACTGTCCTGTACTGCCACGTCTCCGATGTGGCCACGGAGAGTGCGCGAGCGATGAGAATGGTTTCTATGGAGGCGTCGCTGGGCTTGGGCATGATGGCGGGCAGCATTGCCGGCGGCTACATATACGCAGGAGTTGGTGCCGCAACGCTATTCATTCTGGCGGGTTCCGTCATAACCGTAGGTCTGCTTTACATCATCTTCCTTGTGCCGGAGAGCCTCAAGCCAGAGGACTTGCAGTCGGAGGTAAACGATTTTGCTGTTCTTTTCTTTTGCTCGAATTTTACCATTCATCGACCATTCCTTGCCGCCTTGTTAGTCACGGATACGTGGGTTCTTCCGCTTCGATTTGGTCAAGAATCTGGTGATGACCTGCTGCAAGAAGCGTGAGAACTACGACAGAGCCATCATCTGGATGGTCATGATGTCGCTCACCATGTGCATCTTCGCCATGGGTGAGTAAACAAACTCTTGCCTCTGCGTCCCATCTGACTCCTTGCCAATCCATCAGAGGGCGAGGGCACAGTCAACTACATGTTCGTGCAGAAGAAATTCAACTGGACCGTCACGGACTACAGCGTGTTCAACACCTCGCGCATCGTCATCCAGGTGGTGGGCAGCATTATTGCTATGGTTCTGCTGCGACGATTTCTCAAAGTCTCGCTCATCACGATGACAATGTTGGCGTTTGCCTGCTGTGTCCTGGAGGGCACTGTGCGGGCAACGGCGCAGTACGGTCAGGAGATGTATGTGGCCTTGGTGCTGGGCATGATACGCGGCGTCATGAGTCCCATGTGCAAGGCCATTCTGTCGCAGCTGACGCCCAGCACGGAAATAGGCAAGATATTCTCGCTTACCACATCGCTGCAATCACTCTCTCCCCTGGGCGCTGCACCGCTCTACGCGGCCGTTTACGCAGCGACGGCGGCCTCCTATGCGGGAGCCTTCAACTTTATCAGCGTGGGACTCTACTTTATGTGCTACTGTTTCTCCGCGTGAGTAACTGAAAATTATTAATTGCTTCTGCTTATCATTATCATTATCATTATTGTTGATGTTTTTTCCCATGCAGCATCGTATTTGGCATGCAGAAATCAATGGAGAGGAGCAACGCCTATCGGGCATTTGGAAGTTGATTGAGCTTTGAGTATTAGATAAGCTCAAAGTGATGCTGCAAGCCAAAGCTTAGAAAGTATATTAAAACTTAGATAATTCCCAGCAAATGAAGCACACAATTGGCTGCTGTTTTCGTAACATTAAATTCGTTCTACTCGTAAAGTTTTATTGTTATTACCTAGGTATGATCACATGTTAATTGTGGGCATAAATCGGTCAGTGGCTCACTTTAGCACCTTGGCGTAGTGCTGCTTGTGCCTGAACTTGATGCGCAAGACACATCTGCGGGAATATCAAATACCAATTAGCATTCCCTCACTCGAACCAGCTAAGCTTACCCAATGAACACGAACGAGAGCAGATACAGGAACGAGCTGACAAAGTTGAACAGGCCCGGGTATGTGGTGAGGCTCTGCTTGTAGATAAGCGTGTAGAGCGGGGCGGCGACTGCGATTAGAAGTTGCAAAAATTCAAAATAATTCAATCAGCCAGCAGAGAGCAGAAACCAGAGACTCACCGAAAGGTGCAAACGATTGCAAAACATTCTTAATGGAGAAAATCTTGCCTGCAATGTGAAAACAGCTGTGATACGTATACGCGATATTAAGTACCCGCAAATGGGTGGGGGAAAAACTTACCCAGATCCGAGGGCGGCACAATGTTTGACACAATTGTGCGGCACATGGGTCCCGAAATGGAGCGGAATACGCCCAGGGCTACCGAGAGGTACATGTGCCAGGGCATTGTGGCAAATCCTTTGGCCAAATTATTGAGAACTTCCGAGAAGAAGGCCAGCAGGCCGAGCGTAACCACCGACAGGCGGAAGACCTAAAACAAACGAGAACTCAGCTGTATGGGAGCACCTTTGTATGAAATGCTCACCTTTCGGAGCACAAGGAAACCGATCAGCGCTCCAATCATGGGCACCAGATGACTGACCGTCTCGTAGAATGTGTAATCCCGCACCGTCCAGTGGAACTTTTCGCGCACAAACAAATACATTACAGTCATCACGCCATCTGGAAGGGGAGCTCCATTGTATAAGCTTTGGGATCGCACAACTGCGCACAAAATTCACTCACCAAACACAAAAATAGACAGGAACATGGCCAGTGTGACGAGCCAAATAATTGCGCGAGCATGATTTTCGCGTGGCTTGAAGCAAGTGTTAATCATATCTTTGATGTGAACGAAGCTGAATAGGCCAGCCTTCCTGACACGCTCCGCTGCCGCGGCGGCATCCGCCTCAGCCTTGGCCTTCTTGGCTCGCTCGGGCAGCCGCTCCACGTACTTGGCCAGCATGTCGTCGTCGAAGGACATGGCAGGAGTCGCCGGCGTTGGCAGCTCGCATGGCTTGGGGCGGCGCTTCTCCTGCTGCTCATCGTTGAGGATGTTGGGCGGACAGTCGATGGCCACACAGTCCAGCTGCAGGTCGCAGGCCGTCATGGGCACATCCTTGCGTTCAGCTGCATTCTTCGCATCCTCCGCCTGGCGAATGTGCAGACTCTCGGGCACAAAGAAGATAATGAACAGCGTGGCAAAGGTGGCAATGCAGCCGGAGAGACCGATGGTCGCAGCTGCGCCGGTGGCGGCGTACACGAAGCTGGAGAGCAGCGAGCCGCTGGTCAGGCCGATGAAGAAGATCGACTCCATGAAGATCATGCGGTAGGGACGCGTCTTGCAGTCCGTTATGTCCGATATGAAGCAAAAGGCTGCCACAGAGAAGACACAGTTGCCGCCCAGCAGCGAGTGGGGCACCGCAGCCAGAATGTACCACCAGGGATTGACCACGTAGTAGCTGGACAGCTCGCAGATGGTGGCCATCAGCAAGAAGGAGGCGGAAAAGCCTTAAATGCAAACAACAAATTACCACAGGCACTCCGAAACTCTAAGCCTTACCAGTGCCTTACCAATCATCGAGACAATCAGCAGCGGCTTCCTTCCATAGTGGTCCGACCAGGAGCCAATGAACAGGCCACAGAAGGCCGGCACAATGCTCTCCAGGAGGGTGCGCGAGAGGAATAAATTGGCCACATACGGCTGCAGTTCCGTTTCGATGGCCTGCAAAAAGGGGAAGGCGTCACTAGATATCGAATGTCGGTCGGGAAGGCGAATGCGAATCCGAATGCGAATACGATTCGTTTCCACGTAAGCACACAGCCCCAATGGGGGTTTCCTCTGAACACACATTTATCTCGGCGCTGGCGTTCTTGACGTCCAGCTGCTTGCAATCGGACTCATTGTAATGGAATATCACTGTGCACGTCTGATAGATGACCTGGTTCCGCTGAATGGTGCCTGTGGGCATTAAATATTTGAATATAGTTTGGTTAGCTGTCAAAGTGGACCCGTTCCGGGTCACTCACCTGAGAGCGTGTGCGAGAAGAGCAGCATGAAGACAACCGGTTCTATATAGAACAGATGAAAAACTTTGCCCCACTGCAGACTGCGCAGCTTTTCCAGCGTAAACGCATTCGAGGCCTTCTCAACCATGTTTCTCCGGTTTCAGTTGCCAAATTTTGGCCTCACAGTTCAATGTTTGAGTTCGATTTTCTATTTAGTTTTGCTCAAGGCCTCCCTCACTGGCTCTTGCTGCACATTTTCCAATGCTTGTCACGTAACTGTTTTCTGGCTGCGATCAGATTATCACTTTAATATTATGCTATTATTGTTATTCAATCGCTTTGATTGCTGTGGATGTGCTGGATGCGGATACCGGATACCCATCAGACGTTTGTGTGCACTGAACCAACACGACGACGTTGTCGGGCAACGACTACGACAACGGCAACAGCTATGGCCCAACCCGACAGCGGGCAAACAAATTACAATTAGAGTTTTATTCTCGAAATGAGCGGCTGCCGCTGGGTTCGCAGCTTTATATAGACTCTCGAAAACGCAATAGCAACAAACACAGGCGGAAACACACTGCGAAGCAAATAGTTAAACAGATGAACAGTTGAACAGTTGTTCATCCGAATCCAAATGGGATATCTCGACGCCAGAGAACGACTTGGACCAAAGCTGCGACTCGACTCGACTCCGTTCAACGCGCGACAGATTTATCTTATCTTATTCGCTTCTCCATCAGCCCCACTAGCGTCTACGAATTTAAACTCAGTCTCGGGGTCTGTTTGTTTGGTTAACTTTTTGCATTAATTAATTAATATTTTCACCCATTTGTGATGCGTGCAAATGAGTAGCACGAGCCAGGCTTGTGGTAATCCCAGAAATTCAAGCTGAAAAATAACAGCTAAGAAATACAAATCTGTTTTCGCTTTGTTTACTTATTATAATCATGTTGGGGTGATTAATCCATTTTCCTTTTATTAAAATTGATATCTATGAAGACAACTTCGTGCGAAGACAAAAACAAGTTGAACATTTGTAGAGATGTTCCAAAGTCTCTACGGATTTGCCGACTAGCGGGTGCCTCGTGATCGTTATATCTGTGGCCAGTTGTTTCTGGCCATCAGCTTTGGACGATTGTTAAATATTAATTTTAACTAATTTGCTGGCAATGATGTTCGCCATGTAGAATATCAGATTTTTCGCTACGCTCTGTTGAGGCATCATTTTATTTGAATTTCATTTGTACAGTTGGCTTTGGTTAGGCGCTCAACCGATCTTAATCAAGGGTGTAAAAAACTTGGCGACTAATTTCAAATTAGCAGCAAGCGAAATTAGCATCGAATGAGTTAGCACCAAACCAATCGTTGGGGTGTTCCGATGCTATATTCTGCACACTGTACGTGCAAATAAATAAATAAATGTATGTATGTTCACATATGCTTAATATTTTTAAAGATCCGTCAGCGGACTCCGCGCACATTTTTTGGTCAATGGGAAAATCTTTACAAATTTTCCACCGCAGCAACAGAGTCGAGAATTAACACATTTTCAATTGCTCAGCTCGAATATGTAAATAAGTATGAATTGATGGGGGGATTTTGTATTCGAAAGTTTGGCAATGACTGGCAGACTTTGTTTTTATTTGCAGAGATTTGTTGATTCACCTGAATACCGGCTCGTAGTACGCCCGATTTGTAGACTTTTTATGCCACACCGCACTGAAAACGATATGGAATTAGTGACTCTAAAAAGTAATAAATAAATATAAAGGAACACGTACACGAGGAGGACCATCCCAAGGCCGTAGAGGCAGGCACTGAGCAGATTGAATGTGCCCGGATCCGTGTCCAATGTGCGCGTGTAGATGGCAAAGTACAGGCTCGAGGATATCAGCGGAGAGAGTGTCTGCAGAATGCCCAGCAGAGCAAAGATTTTCCCTGAAACCGAAAAGGATCTAAGGATCTTCACAAAAATCAGCGTTTAGCCTCCAAACTTACCTCGCTCTGCGGCTGGCAGGAGATTGGTGATTATGGTCCGGCACATGGGATTCACCAGAGACTTGAATACGCCCAAAGCAATGGCTACGTAGATTTGCCAGCTAACCGTGGCCCAGGACTTCATCAGGCTGCTGGACGAGTGACTCAGGAGAGAGACAATGGCCAGCCAGAGAACCGACGAGCTGGTGCACTGCCAAAGGTTAGATTAGAGATCTGAAAGAACTGAGATCTGAAATCTCACCTGACGCAGGGACCAAATGAACAGCATGCCGCCAGAGCCAGCCACAGCAGGCACCAGGATGCTCACCGATTCGTATTCGGTAAACTCCTTCACAGTCCAATGGAACTTGGCTCTCATGAACATGTAGAACACCGAGTTGCTGCCATCTGTGCAAGAGGGATTCGACATTGTAATAGCAGTTTCGGGCAGGAAAGAAACACTCACCGGAGACGAAGGCTGCCAGCAGCAGGACAGACATAACTAGGAACACAATAGAGCGATCTTTGTGGGCGCGGTGTCTGCTGCAAGTGCTCCACAAATCCTTCAGCAGGGCAAGCACATCTCTGTCTGGTGTCGCAGCGTTTTGCTCACTTCTGGGCAGACTCTCTGGCAGCAGAGCGATCATCAGGAAGAGGGCAACGAGAATGGAGCAGGCGGATATGCACAGCACAACGTAAGCATTGGTAGCCTCATAAGCGTAGCCAGAGCCAAAGCTGCCCAGCAGGAGACCCACATAAATGGCCAGCTCGTAGGCAATCATCCTGCAAGGTAGCAAATTCTCTAACGGGCAACCACTTTGATCAGACTGCTGCATGTATACCTGTATGAGCGAGCCTTTCCCTCGGACACGTCTCCTAGGAAGCACACGGCGGCCACGGAGTAGGTGACACTGCTGCCCAGACACGATAGAGGCACAATCGAGAGCACGTACCACCAAGGGCTAACCATGCCACCTGTCTGCATGGCTGCATAGGCAACGCCAGCTGAAATCAAATACTGCAGGCCGTAGCCTGACATCCCAGATGAAATTGAGAGTTCTGTGTTCTGTGAGGCACTTACCCAGAAAGGAGCACATCAAGAGCGGCTTGCGTCCGTAGCGATCTGCCCAGGCGCCAGCGAAGAGGCCGCAGAATGCCGGAATAATGCACTCCACAATCCTCATGACCACAACGACTCGAGCTGCGTACGGCTGCACTACCTCTTCGATTCTCTGGCAAAGATCTACAAAGTAATTCAAAGCCATCGCCAGTGATCCTCCTTGTCTTACCTTCGTCTCGTTTGTGGCATTCTTGGTGCCTAGGAGCAGGCAGACCTCATTCGAGTATCCAAATCCCGACGTGCAGCTCTGATAGATGATTTGACTCTTCAAAACGGTGGCTGAAAATCAAGAACCACCTTCCATGAGAGATTACCCCACACAGAGACGAACACTTACACGAAAAATTGTAGGCAAAGAGCAGAATCAAAATGAAGGGCTCCAGCAGATAGATGGTCAGCGGTGACTGGGCGACTGATGGCTCCCTGATGGCGGAAGGCTCTCCATTTTGGTGGCTCTCTGCGCTGCTACTGCTGGCAGTTTCAGGATCACGCCGGGTTGCCTTCGCCACAAGCTTTTCATGGGCATGCGGTTCCTCGTTCATCTCTGCCACTCGACTGAGACTCATTACTCAATGAATTTCAAGATACGAGCGTGGGCGCGATTGCCAGCGGCTTCCATTCACATTTCATGAATCTACAAAAAGTATTCACTCCTTCGGTGAACTGAGAAGCTCTTATCATCGTTACATTTCCTCTAAACAGCTAGGCGGCCTTATCGAAACAGTGAACCAATTTAAATAAGAAGAGCAGTGTTGGCTAATTTCACAACCAAAGTCTCTATATCGAAGCATCACTGTGTCTTTGCTGAGATCCCCGCACGTGAGTCAGCTCTGCTTTGCTCTGCTCTGTGTTGACTCTCGAGGGATTTTTTTTTAATGATTCGACGTGCTTTATCTGAATTAAGTCTATGCACGTTCTCCGAGCAACAAAATATTTACACTTAAGCTTTTCATCTATGTGTCTGCTAGTTCCAGTGTGCAACTAATTAATTTCTAGTAATTGTATTGGACTTTGAAAAGAATTAATTTCTGCATCATTTGATCATTAGTTGTAACCCAAAGACCATCCAGTAGATATACCAACAAGTAAACATTGATCCTCGAAAAGGAACTCTGCCAAGTGAAGGACGCTTATCCAAAGTCGGTTTAGCTCTATATGGTTAATATGGAGTAACGGAAATCATATTCCACGATTTTGATATTCGGTTTAATATTACTAGCTGGCCATGACTCTCAACATTGAATACTTAATTTTCTCAAATAGATGCATACTTTTTCTACATAACAGGCTAGTTTTAAGGACTCCGTTTAATTGGATATTTTGGATAATAAGGTTTAAACAGAAACGGCTAACAAAATATAAAACCATAATCTGTGCTGCAAGACACGCAAAGGAACTATCGATTGGAAACAGATTCATAACGAGTATATTAATGATAGCTGACAAAAGCTCGCCGATGTGTAACGTTGTATGGATAAAAATTCAAACAAAAAGGCGCCATGAGTTGATGTTGATGAATTTGGTAGAACCCCGCAACCATAATGACATAGTCTCTCATCTCTCAACACAGAACTATTTGAAATATGTAGATTAGCGCCAAATCCATGGGGCATTAGAGGCAATCACGGCTGTGGTTCATTGTATACGACTGCTTTAATTGGAACACTGCCAGAGGTAAACAAACGCTTAGCTACAATTTTCAAATATATTAAATATCCATTAAGCGTTCAACAATTAAATTCAAAAAAATTAAATGTGCGTACATATTTATTTTATACTAATTTCTGCCAAGAGGACAATTTATAATATGATTCTGGAATTTCGGTTTTCAATTGTTGCAAAGGTGCTTTTGGGATAGAATTATAGCTGCAAACCTTTACAGACGACAATTGCTGTGGGCCTTCTGCTCCTTTTATGGTTCATCTCTTGCGAAAATCACCGACACTTTCAGTTTCCAAACTTTGTTGGTGGCAAAACGCATTTGTATCTTATAGTCACCCTGCGGAAGTGGCAAAGTTCGCAGAAAATCGTCTGTAAATTCCAAATTATCCATAATGATCTCGTGCTATAAATGATGGCAATAAATTAATCAAATTAAAGGAACAATATTTGTTTGATTTGCCAACTCACATTGTAGGGACAGGTGTGATTTACATTCGATCGAGTCATAATAGCATTGATGACAAGTCCTTCGAAGGATAGACTGTTCACATTTTCCATGAGCTGGCAGAAATCCTTGCTGACATTGTAGAGAAATGGACGCCAGCCATTGTAGCGGCGATCGATGCTCCAATTCATCTGTCAATGGGCAAACTCCATTTAACAATCCACAATGTGGACTCTCTCTACTCACCCACACATTTGTGATGGGCAACTGAAACATTTCCAAGTGTATATTGACTCCAGCCCGTCCCCTGCCGAGAAGTTTGAGTTTGCAGCTCGAGAACTTTGCAAAGGATTCATCGTACGACTCGCACTTGAGGTTGGTAAATTTAGAGTTCGACCTGCGACCCACGCCACACCGAACGGACCAGAGCACAATAACGGCGGCCACAAACAGCCATCGGACCGATGCAAGCACCGCCAACATTTTCGTGTAACGAACAAAACGCCAATAAAGTTAAAACTGTTTTGACATTTGGGTTGAAGGGTTATTCGAAAACATCAACAGGAATCCCCTAATACCCGGCTGCTAATGAGTTTGTTTGCCGTTCGGTCAGTTACCCCCTACGCCATTATATTTCAATTAAACTCCCACTCGAATCTTTGTGCATTTGTGTATAGTTCTTCTCGCACGAAAAACGCAGAAACTTGAATTCTCCAAGATCTCCAAGTTTTGTAGGTGGTCCAAAACGCGCCTGTAACTTATAGTCAGCCTGGGGAAGTGATAAATTCCAGATTATCCAGAATAATGTAGTGCTAGAAAAGAATGCAAATCGCTCGGTCCATTGGCACAGCACGTACATTGTAGGGACTGTTGTGATTTAGATTTGATCGAGTCATCATAGCTCTGATAACCAGCCCTTCGAAGGACATTTGATTCACGTTCTCCATGAGGACGATAGCCATTGTAGCGCCGAAAATACTTATGTATGACCAATGATAGACTTTCGGAATGTGTCTACTCACCCACACATTATCGATGGGCACCTGAAATAGTTGCAGGTGGATGTTGGCACCAGCGCGTCCCTGGCCAGCAGTTTGAGTTTGCTTTTCGAGAACCGCACATGAAATTGGTAAATCTAGAGTTTGACCTGCGACCCTCGCCCCCCAGATAAGAAGGATGCGACCACAAGAAGCCAGCGAAGAGACACAAAAACCGCAACCATTGCCACAAAACTAGTCGCTGCCCAAAGCAGCAGCATCATTTCAAATAGTGACAGTCGAACACTACCCATAAGCTAATATTAGTAACATTCGAAAATCAATTTATATCTGCAAAAACTGAGAATGATGAGCGCGCGTACCTCTTGTAAAATGTTCATCCATTCATACTTTAAAATTCTCATGGAAAGCACGCACCCGAAGAGCAACGAAATGTTTTCTCTTTTAAAAGTTTACTAAGAGGCCGGGTCTGGGGGCTCAGTGGAGCCCGTTGGTGCCGCTAGTTTGTGTCCGACAGCCGTTGAGTGTGGAACGGAGCTCAGTTGTTGCAAGCGGACTGGTAGAGCTAGAAGCCAGTTTCATTCACGCCAGTGTCTCTGTCTCTCTGTGTGTCTGTCTGTGTGTGTGTCAACGTCAACAGAAGACAATTGGAAATCGAGGCATAAAACTAGTGAAATCTGATTTGAATTTAAATCAGTTAGCGCTTGCTGTAACCGAGCTACAAATCCAGACAGACAAATCATATAATGAACAAGCTTTCAGTGAGGGCTTGGCGTGGCACAGCCTCCACGGCCAGTGCGTCCAGCCTGAGGCGTACTGTGTCCAAGTTTAGTGGCACTGGCCTGCTGCCAAATGAGAGGCAACGTCTGGAGATTCGCGACAGCTCCACGGGCGTGGCCGCCTGTCCCCATTTGCTGGATCAGGAGGAGACAGCAGCGGGTAGAACGCCACGAATACACTCCACTCCCGAATGGCAGAACGCACTGCCCTACAGTCAGATACCCGGACCCAAGCCCCTGCCCATTCTGGGCAACACCTGGCGGTAAGTAGTCGTATAAGAGTCGCGGCGCAGAAACGAATAACTCGGGCAGCAAACTTACTTTCACTCTGCGAATTGCAATTCCTTTGCCATGCACTCTCCGTTTCACTTGACCCAATTAAGTGAAGCGCGTTCAATACCCACTGCTCATGATGATGAGGCTGGCTGGTATTTTTATGTTCATTAATTTATTTTGGCTTTGCTGGCCGCGGCACGCAATCATTTGACTGGCCGTAACGAAGCTTGTTTTGCCCGTTTGCTGTGTAAATATGTAACAACAACTCGAATGATCGTTTTCGATGATTCTTGTGGAATGTGCGTGTGGTTTGGGTTTCCTACTACGAGTATTCGCACCTTTGCCTGCACCCTAACCCACGGAAATAAGTCCCAATCACTCCCTCGGCTAAACGCTAGACCTACAATCCACTCAACAATACGTCATCTCGTTGATTAGCGTTCAATTAGCAACATATTCAAGGTCAGCATCATAACATGTGAAATTTTGGTGCATGCTCCACTCACTCTAAGTATTTATTTTGCGCATTTGGCAAAAGTCAATGCATCCGTCCAAATCCATGTCGTGGAGATTTGTTCGCCATTTGTTTGCCATTTGTTTGTCATTTGCGCCCTAACCTTGGCAGTTCTCCTTCACAGACTGATGCCAATCATTGGCCAATACACGATCTCCGATGTGGCCAACATATCGTCGCTGCTCCATGATCGCTATGGCAGAATTGTGCGTTTCGGTGGCCTCATAGGGCGGCCGGATCTACTCTTCATCTACGATGCCGACGAAATTGAAAAGGTAAGCTTTAGCACGGAACACAGACGTCGTAGCACAGCACCTGCTGTGGTCTTTCCGCTTGACCAACGAAGCACGAAGGCACCGAAGCATTCAAGCAATTTCTGGCACTTTGCGACGCATCCAGCTAGTACAAATTACTGCAAGTTGTCGGATGTTAACCACGCAATTTCTGTTAATGTTTGATATTTCAGTGCTATCGCAGCGAGGGGCCAACCCCCTTCCGCCCATCGATGCCCAGTCTGGTCAAGTACAAGAGTGTGGTGCGCAAGGACTTCTTTGGGGAGCTTGGCGGCGTGGTGGGTGTGTAAGTGGAAGAGCTCAGCTCATGAATGACATGAATGACAACCGATTTACACTTTCAATGCAGCCACGGCGAACCTTGGCGTCAGTTCCGGTCGCGTGTCCAGAAGCCAGTGCTGCAGCTATCCACCATCAGGCGCTACATGCAGCCCCTCGAGGCGATCACAGATGATTTCTTGGTGCGCTGCGAGCACCTGTTGGATGGTAACCAGGAGCTGCCCGAGGATTTCGACAACGAGATACACAAATGGTCCTTGGAGTGTGAGTCCTTAGCATGCTCCTGACTGTGTTCAGATAATATACTTATCCACATTAGGTATTGGACGCGTCGCCTTGGACACGCGTCTGGGTTGCCTGGAAGCGAATCTCACACCCGACTCGGAGCCCCAGCAAATCATCGATGCAGCCAAGTATGCCCTGCGGAACGTGGCCACTCTCGAACTGAAGGCGCCCTACTGGCGGTACTTCCCGACGCCTCTCTGGACCCAGTATGTGAAGAACATGAACTTTTTTGTGAGGTAAGTGGGGCACAATGGAATATCACATACCTTGAAGCTGACACAAAATGATTCCTTGCAGCGTCTGTATGAAGTACATACAGAGTGCCACTGAGCGATTGAAGACACAAGATCCCAGCCAGCGAGACGGCGAGCCCTCGCTGGTGGAGAAGGTGATTATGTCGGAGAAGGACGAAAAGATAGCCACCATTATGGCGCTGGATCTGATTCTAGTCGGAATAGACACCGTAATATTACACGAGTCTCTGCAGTTTCGAAAACGAAGTCTAAAATATTTTCACTTCCAGATATCGATGGCAGTCTGCTCAATGCTCTATCAACTGGCCACGCGTCCCGAGGAGCAGCAAAAGGTTCACGAGGAATTGAAGCGACTGCTACCCGATCCGAACACACCGCTCACCATTGCGCTGCTCGACCAGATGCACCATCTGAAGGCATTCATCAAGGAGGTGTTTCGCATGTACAGCACGGTGATTGGAAATGGACGAACACTGCAGGAGGACAGCGTCATCTGCGGCTACCAGGTGCCGAAGGGAGTGCAGGCCGTCTTTCCCACCATTGTGACCGGCAACATGGAGGAGTATGTAACAGACGCGGCCACATTCCGACCCGAGCGTTGGCTGAAGCCGCAGCATGGTGGTGTTCCGGGCAAACTACATCCGTTTGCCTCGCTGCCCTACGGCTATGGTGCCCGCATGTGTCTGGGCCGGCGATTCGCCGATCTGGAGATGCAAATACTGTTGGCCAAGCTGCTGCGAAACTACAAGCTGGAGTACAAACACAAGCCGTTGGACTATGCCGTCACATTCATGTACGCGCCGGATGGACCGCTCCGCTTTAAAATGACGCGCATTTAGTTGCCACATCTGTTGTAGATTTAAGATTTCGATTTTATACGCTTATGCATGAAGTTTGTTGTAAATATTCGCTAAAGAAATATTTAGATGATTAGCATTTTCTCATGAGAGTATGTTTATTTTCTCTTCCACATACGATACCATTGTTTCACCGTTTTCAAACTCTTAGCGGCATCTGCTGCCGTTTCGCCGCAGAGTTCGTGGACAATGTCTGCCTTGTATGACTCGCGTGCTTCCTCCAGAATGGTGCCAAAGATTTCACACTCAATATTCGATGAGAGTTTCTTCTCGTTGTAGTTGCGTTCCTTTAAACGATCGTAGAGCGTTTTATTGGGGCAGGTGACGACGAAGACGGCTTGAAACCAGCGCTCTGGAAAGAAATCGCAGCCGTGATACTCCACGATATTGCCGCCCTTCTGCATCAGCGGTTCCAAGTGGTCCATAAGCTAAGAATATTGAAATTGTAATTTAGATTCTCGGACATACTGTGGCATCCAGACCTTATCTTCATCGAGAATGGGACAATCGTATTCTTCGTCGTGCTCCTCAACGTAATCATGTTCCTTGGCAATCTTTGAGCAATCTAACCAGTCGAAATTCAATTGTTCGGCCAAACGCTCGCACAAATACGATTTGCCCGCTCCAGGTGTGCCTGTGGATACAAAAATATGCTAAAATCGTACAATTAACTAAAGCAAGCATACCAACCGGTGATTAAAATGTTTGGCTTCGCATCTGCATCTAGTTCCGACATCTCACAGCCAGCAATATATTACTATTCCTGATTCTAATTTAAAAATGTTTTATTGTTTATTTTTGTTGAAAACGTGCGATGCCGATTGTCGATGTTAGGGCTGCACAACAAATATATCGAATTGAACTATCGAAAGCCCTGGCGCTGAAACTAATTAATCTTTAAATCGCTGGTAGAAGCAACTAAACTAACATTTTTCGTATAACAAATGTATAATCAAGGTAAACAATATCATCAAGTGTTTCAATAAAAAGCGCATATATTTTTGTACTTTTGACTTGCCGTATTTGTCGCGATCATATTTGATTGCGTATATCGTACTTGTGGATGTTCCTTTTCCGTTTTCAACTATTTTTTACATTCTGCCTTCTTCTCTCTTTTCGAAGTCCTCTTTGCCAGCAGAACTCATAGATTCATGTGTGTTGTATCTCCTTCGCTACTTCTTCTTTTCACAAGTTTTCACAGATGTCGCTGCTCTTTTCCGTGATACCTTAATATTTTTTTAGTAGTATTCAATGAAAAAAAAATTAGGAGCAGCAGGTAGAATGTCTGGAACAATCTCTGCGAACAGTGTTAAGTCTGAGACTACGGCCGTGGTGGATGAGGAGCAGCGTCAACACGTTCCATACATCTTAAATGGAGAGCTGTACAGCATTCAAAGCCAGGTGGGGGATAATGTGGTGGTCAAGTGCTGTAATTGTCCGCCGGATCGGGTTTATCGCGGCAGCGTGCGTTCCACGGGCAACTTTCATATGCACATCAAGGTAGACGCGACATAACACCCTGCAATTTCAAGTAATTGAGTTATGATTCCGGTACAGCGTCGCCACACATCTTTGTTGGGAAAACTGCATGAAATGAAGGTGATTGCCCTAGAGGAACGTCGTGATCGCATTATGAAGAACCGTGCCATTGAGAAACCCCGTAGAAAACGACGATCATCATCGTTGTGCAAGCTTTCAACAACAGCAGGACTGGCCGCAGCGACGTTTGAGCCGGTTGCACATTCAACACCGACGGGAAAGGAAATCCATGAGTTGAAAATAAAAACGGTGTTTCAGCGCCACCAACAAGAGCACAGCGAGCAGAAGGAGGAGACGAGCACAAAAACAGTAAGCAAAAAGCGAGATGGCAATATGCATTATGCTATGCAGTTTACCGTTAAAGATGTAGATAATGCATGTGTGTTTGTGTGTTTATCTGTTTTGGCAGACCAACTCAATGAAATGAAACAGAAGCTTTCGGTAATTTGCATGTTTGTTTGTGTGAGTGCTCACTTTTGTTGTTTCTTCCTTAGCCCTCTGCTTCCGTGAGTGAATATTCGACTGTAGATCACAACCAAAATCAGGTGAAGCTGGCCACGGCGAATATGCCGAACTGTACCGATAATTCGAATATCAATGGGCTAATTGTACAACATGTTCGCACTGTAAGTACACGCGTTTTACATAAACTGTGACATATGTACCTATTCTATTATTCCTAGCTTCCAACTCTTAACCCCAGCATGGTGGATACCCTGATTGCCAATTACAGCCAGCTTAGTCCCGTGGCGGCTGTGCCGAAGGTGGTGCACTTGGGCCACGTTAAGGAGGAGCAACCAAGTAATTTGCCATTTCGTACAGATCAGCCGGCGCCGATTGATCTGACTACAACATCCTCGCAAAGCGACAGCAAATCCAGCATGTCTAGCAAATCGTATTCCATGGATGATGTTCAAATGGCTGGCTCATTGTCCCATTACATGGATGGGCCACCCAGAGATATTCTGCAACGCCTTGAACGCACAATGAGCGATATAAGTCAGGAGCTGCGTTCCCGCAACCAAATTGAGCACAACCGTTTACTCCTGGAGGCAGCCAAGTTTAAGTTCTTACACCCAAATTTCCAGTTTGAGCCCACCCTTTAGGTGTTTCCAGGGATCGAAACCAGTGAAGAAGTTAAATATTAAATATGCATATACATTATATATACTCCAATTGAATATATCCACCATATTGGTGAAGTGCTGGTAACCGTCTTTAGTATTTCGTTAAATTTGGTTTCATTCTTTTAGTTCGCTACATAACACACCTTGCAACTTTCTGAGATGTGTCATAGTATTTTTTAGTATTTTTTACGACGCGTTAGGACTGCATCTCTTCAATGCACAGAACACAAATTTGGATGGAAATAATTTAATAATGGTGGATGCAAAGGCTTCTTTAATATGTTTAGACGAAGAAACAACCTCTGATGTTGAACCAATTTTGACGAAAGTCACAAAAAAAAGTCTACCCACGCCAACAACTATCTTGGCGGATGTGCTAAATAATGATGTTCCAACAACCAGTACAGGTGTCGGAGTAGGTAACAATAATTCGGTGACTTTGAAGCGCGCCATAGACGACGACGACGTACCCGCGTTGCTAGATCACACGCCCTCATATTCAGGAAATGTAAGTGTTCAATAGAGTCCAATGAATCATCCATTGTTCCTGTGCAAAATGAATTGCGTATCAACAAGCGCAGAGCAAATGTAAATGCATTTCCACATTATATCCCCTTTTAATTACAGGCAATCAATGGAAATTTGCCGGCCAACGATAGGGATAACGCTGAGTCGGAGCCTATTTTCCGTGTAAGGTCCCGAACGGCAGCATCATCGACTCCAAACTATGAGGTGGGTGTGTGTGTGTTGTAGGAGGTCTCTCCCGGCAACTGTTATCGTCAATTCACAATCTAAATTTCCCTTTACAGAGCTTGGACTATGAAGTTTGCGAAAATATGCTTTTTCAAGAGGAACAAAGAAAGAGCATCACGGAGCGGTTCTCACTGCGGAAGGATATCATACGATGGATCATATTCATACAAATTGGCATCATCACAGCGCTTATTGCCTGCACCATAGATATTATCATCGAAGAACTCTCCGAATTGAAATACTTGTTCCTCATGAACTGTGCGTAAAGAAACAAACATGATTTGTTTATCTCACTTGACTTTTTTGTTTATTTTCAGCCGTCGAAAGCAATGTTCCAAAGAGCGACATTACTGGCGGCGATTTGGTTGTGCCATTCCTCTACTGGATTCTACTCAGCGTCCTGCCCGTAGCCTTTGGAGCTGCCATGGTTACCTACATCGAACCCATAACGGCGGGCAGTGGCATTCCGCAGGTGAAGAGCTATCTCAACGGTGTAAAAATACCGCGGATTGTGCGGATCAAAACCCTTGCTGTGAAAGCAATCGGAGTGATCACCTCGGTGGTCGGCGGCTTGGCTGGTGGCAAGGAGGGTCCAATGATACACGCCGGCGCTGTGGTAGCAGCTGGCATATCGCAGGGAAAAAGTACAACATTTGTAAAAGATTTCCGTGTGTTTAAGGCCTTTAGGGATGACCACGAGAAGCGGGACTTTGTCCTGGGAGGAGGTGCTGCTGGAGTTTCGGCTGCTTTCGGCGCTCCCATTGGCGGTATGCTGTTCTCGTTGGAAGAAGCCGCCAGCTTCTGGAACCAAAATCTCATCTGGCGCACTCTCGTTGCCTCAATCATTAGCGTATTTACCCTGAACATTGTCCTATCCACATATCACGGCCTGAACGATTTCACCTTCACCGGCCTCTTCAATTTGGGCAAATTCGATCAACCCCTGAAATTTGACTATTTTGAGTTGCCAATCTTCATGCTGCTGGGCGTAACCGGTGGCCTACTAGGGGCCGCCTGGAATTCGCTGAATACAAAAATCAATGGGTTTAGGAAACGTTACATTCCCTGGAAGTTTGGCAAGGTGTGCGAAGCCGTTGTGGTGGCCATGCTGGGCGTTACACTGGCATGTATGATGATCTACTTTATCAATGATTGTCGTCCGCTGGGCAACGACCCAACCATCCATCCTGTTCAGCTTTTCTGTGAAGACAATGAATACAATGCTGTGGCCGCACTCTGGTTTCAAACGCCCGAGGCCACAGTCCGATCTCTGTTCCATGATCCACCAGGTAAGCCAGTAGAAAGTTTTACTCGCGGCTTATCAATATTACATTTAATTTTTTGTTTTTATTAGGTTCCCACAAAATTCTCACTCTGGCCATGTTCGCGCTTGTGTACTATGTGCTGTCGTGTGCCACCTTTGGTCTCAACGTCTCGCTGGGCGTCTTCATACCAACAGCTTTAGTAGGCGCCGCCTGGGGACGTCTTTTAGCCATGGTCACATTCTATTTATTCCCTGAAACAGTAAGTAAAAAATCGCTCATAGAAAGTCCATCAGTTAATCCTTTATTATGAAAACAACAGGAATTTTTGCATCCCGGAAAATATGCTTTGATCGGAGCTGCCGCAAATCTGGGTGGAGTTCTACGCATGACCATCAGCTTGTCGGTTATTTTGATGGAAACAACTGGCGTGGAGACTTCATTCTTTTTCCCCCTGATCATAGCGCTCATCAGTGCTAAATGGGTTGGCGACTACTTCAACGAGGGCATCTACGACACCCAAATCGAAGTGAATCACGTACCCATGCTGCCTTGGGAGCCCCTGCCCCAGTATAAAGGCCTGAGAGCACGTGAAATATTAAGCAGTCCTGTGGTGTGCATCAAGCTGCGTGACAGCGCTCACTATATCTATAATGTGCTGAAAAAATGCGATCACAATGGTTTTCCTGTGGTGGATGACGTCAAGGGTGTAAGATTATGAAAGCATTTGCTTGCTCCCTATTCAACGCCATCATTTATTGCAGGTTCGTCGCTCTGAGGGTCGCGTCTGCGGCATTGTTTTGCGCTCGCAGCTAATTGTCATCTTGTTAAAGTCCTTGTATGTGGAGAACAGTCATTTCTGGCTGCCAAATACTTCAATACAAACGTTTCGGGATGTCTATCCGCGATATCCATCCATAAAGGTAAGGAATAAACAAAGCCCCTGCAGATTCTTCAATGATTTGTTTGCGGTTCCAGAGCGTGAGAAAACTGGATGATAAAATTAACTACACAGTGGACCTGGCCATGTTCATGAATCCATCACCAGTGCGCGTTAATGCAGTGAGTAGAAACAAAACTTTTACCCAGTTTCGGGGACATATAATTGTCGTCTGGCATTACAGCACGACTCTGTGCCAAGGATCTTTCAAATTTTTCGCGCCTTGGGCCTGCGCCACATGCTGGTCATCAACAACGAGAATCGCATAGCTGGCATTATAACGCGCCGGGACTTCATTTACAAGTGATGTGGGATAATGCATCTGTATATAATACAATGCTTTTATCAGTGTGTATCGAATACTGTACTGTGCGCGTTCATTTTAATTTATAACTATTTCCAATAAACATTTGTACTACTTTGTAAACGCTCGAAATGCCATTTCACTTTTGATAAACTTGTTTTAATCTGCTCATTACGTTTTTACAGCTTATGTTTAGGGTTCTTAAACGCGTAGATATCTAATAATATAATAGTATTCACAAGGAATTGTACAAGGTTTGTGTGTGGGTGTGGCCTATGCGATTGTTTTGTTGAATTTCTTGTTGTATAAAAATACGTCACGTCGTGCGTCACACATATGTAGGTGTAAAAGTAAAAGATAAAATCTTAGGGCTCTAAACTGACGTGTTTTGAAATCTACTAATTACTAGCACAACTCTTCACTTGTTCCGTTTGCTGTGCACAAAACTCTGTAGCTTTCGCTATATTTATATACTATATATATGACATCATGTGGGGCCTACAAGTTTGGTTGCGTTAGTGGGTAGAAAGGGCTCTATGACTGACTTAATGCTACCTCTATAAAAACAAGGCGCCTCTATAATAACAAAACTGTCGCTCTGCCATAGGTGGAACTCTAATGTTAACTCTATAAGTTATGCAAGAAATGTAAGCCTAGATAATTCTAGTTTAGGAGCAAAACGCCTATGATTAAATGACTCTTTGTACAACGTGAAAAGGGGCTTTGTTTCGATGAAATATATATCCAATATCCAATGCCACGCCGGACAGCGACTGGTGGTATCACATTTAGAATCAAATTTTTATATTGAATACAGGCAAATCTTCCATTCCATTCCATCTTTTTTATCGTCACATGCAGGCAGCATCTGAACATGCTCCTGCTCCTGATCCTACTCCTGTTGCTCTTGCTGTTGTCCGTTCCGGTTAGCTCTCCATGGGACGCACCTGCTGCAGTGCCTCGGCGGCATTCGTGGTCGCTGCAGCTGCTGCTGCCGCACTGTTGCAATGCTGTTGCGGGGCATTGGAGGTGGTTGTGGTAGTCGAGTCCGTTGATAAAATGCTGCTATGGGCGATGGGATGGTTGGAGGACATGGCGGTGCCCAACACAGTGGATACCGATGTTGATGTTGCTGTTGCTACCACCGGGGCGTTTGCTGTGGTTGCTGCTGCCATCACACCACCAATCGAGCTGCCGCTCGCCGCATTGCCGCCAAGTTGAATGACTTTGTATCGCGTGTACACTCGATACGGCGTCTTGGACGTATCCTTTTGTTGCAGCGACTTGGTCTTACAGGTGGCGCCCCAGCCACTGGCATTGATCTGATCCGCCGTCTTGCCCAGCAGCCAATCGCTGCAGTTCTGCTGCAGTTGCTCGCTGACGTGCTGCTGCAGCCAATTGTTGACGTAGGCCTGATACCGGACATATTTCGCCTGCGTGACGCGGCAATGACTCTGTTGGGGAACCAAACGAGAAACGAATTACATTACAGTCTCTTCTTCTTTCGCTGATGACTCACCTTCTTGGCACGACGCACTGCATCGTACTTGAGTAGCTTGAGATTCTTGCTGGTCACAAAGCATCGGCCGTTGCTGGAATTTGTGGTGATCTCGTCGCGATCATTAAAGGCGTATTGCTCGGCCAGGCCCACCTGTGGAGCGCCAAGTCTCTCCGGCAGACGCTTGCCCCAATTATTATTGTTATTGTTGTTATTATTATTGGTGGTGGTGTTGCCGCTGCTGCTGCTGGTGGAATTGGTGGCATCAACGCCAGAGCCTGCCTCAGCAGCGTTAGTCGTGGCGGGCGCTCCTGTGGTTTCAATTCGGCTTCG